CACCGCGTGAGCGAAGAGTACGCGGCTCCTAATGTATCATTTTTGGACATTTTTTACTTATAAATTCTCATGAACTTAAGTTAATTTATCGAAGTAAGAAAGTAGATAAAAATTGCTTAATAATCCTTTATAGAATATATTTCAATTTAAAATACATGGTTCTTATGAGGAAACATTGGTTGATAAAATCAAAAGTAATGTGAAAGATGAAGAGTAAATAAAAATATTTATTATACTACACATACATGAATGATTTATATAAAAAAAAATTTAAAAATAGATTTGATGCTTCTTCAAAAGTCACTAAATTAAAATTAAATTTAACTTTTGAAGAGGCTCACTATTTTCTGCCACTTGATCGATTATGTCGTCGCTATCTAATTTCATTAATAGATTTTTTTCTATTTGCCATTACCATGAGAGCATTCAAATTATCAGAAGATAAAGTACTCCTCATTCTATTTTTAATTATTTTTAATGATCTTTCACAAGCCACCTGACTTTTTGACAATGTTAGTAAAAATTTTAATGCTAGACTAATTAAATTGGAAGAATTGGTCAATCAATTGAATCTCTGTTGTAACATCTTGTGGCAACAAATAACACAATTTTTGAACGCACTGCGTGTCTCACATTTTAGACTTACTTCTTCTGTTTCCAAAGAAAAGTCGTTATTTCATTTGAATGATCTTCTGTGATTATTTTATAATCTCCTAAGTCTGAATTTTTCAGTTTTTCCCAATGTAAAGCTAAATTTCTTAGTTCAATCCGAAAACTTTCACCTATAGCTGTTTCGTCAAATTTTAGCAAGAGTTTGCTTAGCTCATTTAGTTCGCCAGATTGAAGCTTGTTAAGACGTTTTTCAGGAAAACGTTTCGGATCTAGATAGGAAAAATCGGCGTACAATTTTCCATTTGCCAGAAATCGGCGTTCCATTGACGCTACAACTGTGCTGAAAATAATGTTATGGACGTTTATCTTAAATGCAGTGGTTTCATCATCAAAAACTGTTTCATTCGACGCTGTCTCACCCGGCATCAATTTTCTTTTCTTCAATCTTTTTTATGGAAACTTTGTTTGAATTTCAGTTTCAGTTTCTTCAAGCTCCTTATTTGCGCAAATAATGAAATCATCTGTAACTTATTGTACACCTTCAAAATCTCTCACTATTTTTTTTATGTTCTGAACACGTTTGTGATACCATTCCAAAAGCTTTTAAGATGTCTAAACCAGAGGTTTGCAAATATTGGGAGAGCGTTGTAGTTAATTCAAATATTCTTGAGAATATTTTGACGGTGATTACTGTTTCATATTTGCAAAATGATTCCAAAAATATTTCTGCCTTTGCACGGATATCTGGCTTGAAATTTGAATTTTGTTGTATAGTTTCTAAACTTGTAATCAATGTGGTATATAACGGCTTAATAGTAGAATCTGAGTTTGAAAATTAACCAAACATTTTCTTTAATGCAGAATCTTTGGACCACCAACGTGTTTCTTCAATAGTTGCGAGCCTTTTTTTTATTTCCGTGCTCGTTACTTTGTTCCCAGATGTTCATGCGTTGGTATGATTCACGGAAAAATACTGCGACGCTATTTAGTAGGCTGAAAAACTATGCACTTTCAATTAGTGTCTTCGTGGTATCTCCTAAAACTAAATTTCAGACATGTGCATAACACCACACATGAATGAGACCAGGGGACTCTTTGGAAAGCCATGAAGAAAATCCTTTATATTCACCTTACATATTTGCAGCCCAGTCAGTTGAATTACCGATGCACTTTGTTATATCTATATTACAAGACTTTAAAACTGAATCCACTAAAGAAAGCACATTCTGTCCAGTTGAAGATTTACATACACTCTACAACAGCAAGAAGTCTTTCATATACACGATGTTTCATATATTTTTTAAATAGAAACCTATATCTTATTTGGCATCATTGAAGAGAGTTTTTGAAAAGAAATAACTTTTACTTAAAATATTTTTTAATATCTCCTACTATTTTCAAGATAATAGATAAGAAAAAATACATATTAAATAGATTTTGACACATTCACTAAAAAATTTTTTTTCGTCATAATGTCTTTTACCTTCATTAAAATACCTTTGTGCTTTTCTTCATATGTTTTCGAAAAATTGAAGCGATTTTGATAATTTAAGTGAATTATTTTTGATAAAAATTATAAATTGAAGTAAATAATCAGAATTTTTTTCGTATCTATTATCTTGAGAACAGTAGGAGATATAAAAAAAATTCAAGTAAAAGTTACTTTTTTTCGAAAACTCTCTCCAATGATGCCAAATAAGATATAGGTTTTCATTTAAAAAATCAAAACTGTATTCAAATTCCGGTACTTCCGGGAATTAAAAATATCACTATTGAATTCCTTGGGGTCGATTTAGTCATTAGATTTTTTATTTCAAATTGATTATTTTCATTCTCGAAAAAAATGGGTGGCACGCATGATCTGAATCACTCTGTATATTAAAACAATATTATTACTACATATATCATATATATGTTATTAAATATTATTATTATTTGCGCAATATTATTTGAAATTCATGCAATGTATAAAAAGAAATTTTGCGCTTCTGGCTCGGTCCAACCGGCCCTCAGGCCAGACCGGCCCACCGGGCATTTGCCCGGTCTGCCTACTGGCCAGTCCGGGCCTGCAGACGCAGCCTAAATGTAATTTCAGTGTCAGCCACCGGTGGTTGACGCGGCCTAAATGTAATTTCAGAGTCAGCCACCGGTGGCTGACGCGGCCTAAATGGAAAGTCCAGTGTCAGCCACCGATGACTGACGCGGCGCTCAACGTGCTAAATCAATTTCATAAATCAAAGAATAATGCTTTAGAAAATAAACTTAGCTACCACTAGAAGACATCTGACCGAAGACAGTAGAAAGTTGGCTGTCTTAACCCCGTATGAAACGGATGGTTTCGGAAAAAAAAGCATTTATTATTTGGATCTGACGTCAAAGGACAGTGCTATTTTAATGCTACAATGACGGGTAAAAATATCTACTTAATCTGAACATGCATGCAAATACTTCAACACTTGAAGATGTCTTTTCAGTGGTAGTGAACTTAAGCTGAATTTTAAATAGAAATTTTAAAAAAAAATCGCTAAAATTTAAACATTTGAAATGTGACTTTATATATTTATCCCAGCAAACACAGCATTTCAGGCGTGATAACGTGCCCACATACAGTGGCCGATAGCACTTCCATCTTTTCAACATATTTGGCCGAATCGGTTGCGGCAAAAAAGTGTCCGGCCAGCCGGCAGCTGGAGCCGATACTGTCAATGATGATGGGTCGATAAATTTTCCGATATCGACCCATTATAAAAAAGGATATTAATTTACATTGAGTCAACAAGTAGCCAATAAATTTCCATTTGCGATGGTTATATTCTCTTCCTTATTTCTTGCCGTGTTAATGCTTTATTAGGACTCTCGTTATATATGTTTAAAATTATTTGTGTTTAATAGTGCTATTCAATGAAATTAAACAAATTTTTAGAGCAATCTTTAATTAATAACAAAATTATCGTTTTAAAATTTGAAAGAAAAATCGTTACAAATTACGCACGATAAAAGCATTTAACACGTTCACGCCGGGGTGACCCATCGGTGGGTCACGCTAGATTGTCTCATCTTGGCAGCGCACCGGAGTAAAAACTGGTAACAATAAATTTCATTTTTTTAGTTTTTTTCCGGGAATAATAAAAATCCATAACTACCAATTGTTTTTAACGGATGCAATTTTTATATTGAATTGCTTCATCGTCGTGATAAATTTCCTTACAGTGAATTGTTATTGTTGAGAATAGATTAATTTCTCCCGAATATTATCTAATATTGAAATAGTTCTTCTACCAGTATTTTCACTTTTCCCGGCGTGAACGTGTTAAACTTTCATACTACGCAAGAGCGGAAGAAAATTTAATAAAATTTTTTTCATAATTTTGTAGCAAATCGTATTTAATAAGTAATAAAAAATGCTCGATTTGATTATCTTAAGAAATTTAAAATATTTCTAGAAATTTTCTAAGTCTCTGTACTTTTCCCTACTACTTACTACTTTTTGTACTCTTACTTTAAATACTCTAACAAGTTAGACGCACTTTAATATTTAGATTTAAGGAACACGATAGATTTGCCCGTTATCAAGAATACGAGAAATCATCAATTGCTGCACATTGTTGGAATCTTGGGCATAAATTAAAATTCGACATAGCAAAAATTATTATGTCCTGGAATCTCGTCTTATTTATTTGTCTTATCTTTAATTGTTTGTCTTATCTTTTCTTATATTTTATTCATATGAATGCTGATTCCTTTGTTAAAGACAGTAGTATCTCACCACCTCTCTGTAGTGCGTGGAAATGCATTTTACCCTGATTTCCTCTTCTCGCCGCAGTGGTTTTTCTTGATCTGTTTTTCCTATTTTTTTCTCTCTCGGCTACTGGTTTTTTTTCTCACCTTTATTTTTCGTTTTGTATTTCAATTCACTTTTGTTTCTTCTCATTTACGTCTGACAAGTCTTGAAAATGGGTGCCTAATTTTGAAGAGCTTGAAGCATGTCGACTGTCACCTCCAATTTGTACATTTTGAAAGAGCTTGAACTTTTTTTTTTATCAAGTAATAGTTCACTAAAGTTCAAATAATTTTTGGTTTAAATTAGCGGCGACAATATGAGTAGGAGGAACCCTGCTTGAATTTTATAGTTTATCATGTAAAAAATTATCTTATAATTATACAAAAGGTTATTACTCTTAATACCTTATATTTAAGTAATTTAACTATATAAAAGTTATTTTATTTTATAATTATAAAAAGAATTTCTTCAATGTTATATTGTCCAGGTGGCTTGTTAGCAAAAAATGTTTTATAATATCTGTCCTCTGAAATTGTACTGCGAGTTTGTAACTAATGTAAGTTTATTATCTTAAATTTGATTAATAAAAAGCAAATGAAGAATCAGATAACAGCAAATGTCATTTATTAAAAATGAAATACAAATAAAATAATTTGACATTAAAACCAATGAGATATGAAATCAGTCAATTAAACTAACAGAATTGCACATGCATCATCCATTGATTATTTTATGATAAATTATACAGTGTTTAATAAAATTGACATTTGTATTATTATACATACATTGTTTTAAAACATGAGAATATTGATTAATGATTAACAATACTCAATTCTTCGAATTAGCTCAAACAATACGCACTTAAACATAAGTTTTAAGCGCGGCATTCAAGTTCAAATTCCATTGATGAAAAGGTGAAGCGAAGATGTCAAACAAAGATCCATACTTCAATATGTATACAGAGCTGACAACTTTCAACGCTGTTTGGGAAAATTACTTCGAATGGCAGGGCTGCCAACTACTACGCTTTTTGCAAAATATTTTATAGAGGGGTAGACCTTTCAAAACCAAAACTCTCAAAGATTTTGGCAATTTTGCCAACATTTTAAAAGCTCCACCACGAAAAACGTGAAAGTAAGTGGCGTTGCAAATAAACTTTTAAATAATCTATATGTAGTGGTGCGGGGAAAATAAGTTTAAATGAATAAAAAACAATACATTCAAGCATAAACATAGCTGCCACTAGAATACATTTTTACAAAAAGCATTGAAAGTTTGTAGCCCTGCTAATGATAGCTAAGTTTATGTTTTTAATGTATTATTTTTTGATTAGTAAACTTGATTTAATGCTGGCAAAATTAACAAAAATTCGATTGCTTTAGAATTCGATTTTGATCAATGATTTTTTTTATTTGCCTACCACTCCATGAACTATTTTGAAAAATGTGTAGTAGTTGGCCAGCTCTGTAATACTTCTTGCTCATTTATACTTTATTTAATACTATTAAAATTGTTTCAAAGTTAGTGAAAATACTGAAATAGGAGCAGTGATTGCAATGTCCTATGAAAAACAAAACAGTGGTAAGAGAATTATAGTTTTCTCTTTGTCTTAGGTACTTTAACTACCACGGCATGTTTACAATTTAAAAGTTATTCCATAAATTTTTAGCAATATTATTTTAAAATTAAAGAAAAATTAGAAAGCTAAATATTTTGTTGGTTTTAAATTAACATAAAACTTTTGCTTGTTAGTTTATAGTACATCATTTACTACATATTAATATTTTAAAGGACGTCGTGAGCACTGATTGAGTGTGACGATATGACAAGTGCTGCATAGATTTAGCGATCGCAGCGCCCTATTAAATTTAATAAGGTAATACAAAAAGTATTACACTTTTAATGAACTTATGAATGAAACACAATATTTTGATGATTAGGGAACGTTAATAATTCAAGTGGTTCTATTTTTAAAGACTGTTAATTACGATCTATTTTCCAACCAGCGTAAAAGCTAAAAAGAATCGCATCATCACTTTTTTCTTTTTGATAGGGAACCCCAGTCACTGATAAACAATAATTAAACGTTTCATTTCAATCACCTTTTCTAACAAAATTCGGAATAAAAACTTAAAAAGTTTGTCATGTGTTAGCTTTCATAATTTCATTTAATTGGAAATTGCATGAAACTTCCGATATTTGAGACACAAAAGTTATATTATCATGAAGTACATTAAATGTCCCTTCTCTTATTTCAAAAATATAAAAAACTAAATAAAGAACGCTATTTTATATAAAATGCTACTATAGAACATGATTTTTAACATAAATCCTATTTATATTTTGATCTTAAAATCCAATTAAATCCATGGTATAGTCCAATCACCTTAAGATGACGATTGATTTTTAGAAAGTCATTTCGAAGTGGGGAAGCCATTTTTGTAATAGATCATAACACAGAACCACATACAGAGATCGATCAAAATAATGTAAACATTTCTATGTAAACAATCTCTTCTTTTTTTATCAGCAACTGTTTTGGAAGATGGCAAAACTCTTGGTACAATTTGAAATATCATGCTTGAAACCTTTAGAAATGACTTTTTTGTCACCCATTCGAAATTTGCATCGACCATAGAAACTTATTTCTTTTTTCAATATCACTAAAGCATTCTTACGTAATTATTGAAACTCTACTGAATGAATTTCAAAATTTCTGGTAGAAAAACTGAAAAGAAGTTATTAACTTCCTCACTTCATATTGGTCAAGCCCAATTTCTCATGGGTAAAAATGACACTACTTCTAAAAGCTTCAAGCATGATTTTTCAAATCGTAACAACAGTTTTGCATCTTTCAAATTGTAACAACCATCAAAGATCTTCCGAAACATTTACTTCTAAAAGAAAGATTGCTAACACGGTGATAGTAAATCTATAAATGTATCTATAAATAGAAGTATATCTATAAATGTATCTATAAATAGAAGTATATCTATAAATAGAAGTATATCTATAAATAGAAGTGTATCTATGAATAGAAGTATATCTATAAATAGAAATATATCTATAAATGGAAGTGTATCTATAAATAGAAGTGTATCTATAAATGGAAGTGTAACTATAAATAGAAGTGTATCTTTTAATTTGTCCAATCCTTTATTAAGTGTTGCAGAATGTATATTAAAGTCGTTCTAAGACGTGGTGACAATACGAAGACGAATCTCCATTATTTAAAACATTTGCTATCATCACTACGTATATATTTTCAAAAAAAATATTTCTGTAGACGTATTCTAATCTACCAGATCACTAAATGTTAAATTGGTATCTTAAAAAAAATAGTTTCTATTGGAGTAAATTTAAAGGTACTACCAGCAATGACTTTTTCAAGACTTGTGAATATCCTAGAAAAAATTATTTGGCGCAAAGGCTCCCAGTGGTGTGCCAAAAATATTCAAGTGATAACAAACTATTCTGCAAAGCAAATGCAAATTTCTCAGATTTAGTTACCACTTCGGTTTAAAAACTCTTCATCCAGAAGATACCATATTTCTAAGATTGTATTAGACCTTAAGTATTATTTTGGCTAATGGGAACGTGTTATCGCAAATTTATTGAAGAAAGAAGTACATTTCATGATAGAAAACTTTGCTACCATTTAAATTTTTTTGTATCACCTTTTCCCCAATTAACGTGTTCACATACAAAAATAGTAATTCTGCGTAACCGATATCTTTACAAAAGACTTGCACCATGGCTTGGCCTTCAATCGTCTTCTTACCATGTACGGACTATAGCATGATCATCCTGGTTAAATACTACTCTAATATTCAAAGAGTGGTAACCATTTATGTTAACTTATCATATAAATAGGACTACAGGCGACAAAAAATGTAAAAAGTAGTGATTAAAAGAAATCCAAACTTTTTTTAAAAAAGAGATTAAAAGTAACAACTTTTTCTAGCGTATTTCTTTCAACTTCCTAATCAAGGTGATTTTTTCGCTTTAAATATGAATAATTTACAATGTATATCATGGTGATAGCTATGATTAAATAATTATATAAATTAAATAAATAAAAAAGTAATTAATTTTTTACCACTTCTTGCATCTTTAGTCGCCTGTGTCATCCCTGTCTGAAGCGACAGATAAGAAATTTGCTATTAAGAAAGTTGTTTGCGTTTACCACAACGCATAATAGACCGCATTTTTCTTAAATTTTTTCAACACAATCTGAAATAAATTTACTATAAAAAATAAAGCTCTTAAAAAAATCAAAATCCTATCTATAAGTGCTATTTGTGAGTTGCGTATTGTCTTTTGTTTTAAAACAAACAAAAGAATTAATTACAGCACTGCAAGTCATGTAAAATTAACTTATACTACTACTAGTTTATGATTTTTTTTTTTATCGGGATGATTTAAAACTTGACAACCTAACCTAATGCAACTGGTATCAAATACCTTTAATATATTTGCATTAAAATTAACGAGAAAATCAAATTTTCTACAAATGATTTATCAAATATTATAACTTTATTTAATTTTTTTGATGATGATTTACCAAACATAATTACTCCATATTCACTTTAGAATATTTTTTAAGGATGAAAGGTTAAACATTATCATTAAGTGATTGCTTTTATATTTCTTTTTTAATATTTTCGTAACAAATATATTCATTTCATGTCCTGTTTTTGAACAATTTTGAAAAATGATAAATGAAATATTATAACTTTGTACCCGATTTTGAACTCTTTTTAAGGTTGATGTAGCAAACATTTTCATTTAGTGTCCTCGTTTGAACTTCTTTCAAAGATGATGTATCAAATATAATCATTTTGTGTCCTCTTTTAAATTATTTTCTAAAGATGATAGATCTATTGAGGCTGAAACTGAATCCCTCTTCTCTGTTATCCTTTTTACTATGATTCCACCAGAATTGTCACAAGCCAAGTCAGCTACCGACAATGTTCGCGAAGACCATTTCTCTTCCATTTTTGGGCTTAGATTTGGAGACTCGTCTGAATCTTGACTTCTAAAATTAAAATAATACTTTTAATAAAAATTTAAATTACAAAAGCCTTCAGTCAATCTATGTAAAGTTAGTAACAGTGATGCGTTTTACTTATTTCATTACGATTGAATTAAATAAGTAGATTATAAATTTAAAAAAAGAATTTAGTTTCGATCAATTCTTACATTTTTAGTCGCTTGTTGCATCCCTGTATTGTGTTTTAACAAATTCCTGCAGATTTATGTACTTGAAGTGGAAGAAAACTTTAAAATTTGGTATTTAATTTTTGTTTAATTAACAAGTTCACGCCGGGAAAAGTGAAAAATAGTGGTACGGGAAAAGAGAAAATACTGGTCGAAGAACTATTTCAATATTAGATAATATTCGGGAGGAGTTAATCTATTCTCATCAATAACAATTCACTATAAGGAAATCTATCACGGCGAAAAAGCAATTCAATATAAAAATTGCATCCGTTAAAATCAATTGGTAGTTATGGATTTTTATTATTCCCGGAAAATAACTAAAAAATGAAAATTATTTTTACCAATTGTTACTCCGGTGTGCTGCCAAGATTTGACAATCTAGCGTGACCCACCGGTGGGTCACCCCGGAGTGAACGTGTTAAATTCAATTGAAAATTACTTAGATTACCATCATATAAAAACTTGTGTATTTAAAGACTTAACAATATGCAGTCCGCATATATTTAGTGATAAGTTTACAATGTAACCGGTGTTTACTTTCGTTAAAACCACCTCAGTAGTAACGAAATTCTAGTGGTAGTGAAATTTAAGTTACTTTTAGTTTAGTATTTTCCATTATAAGTAATTTTATAACCACTAAATATCAAAAATTATAAGTATGATATAAAATGCAACGTTAAGGCATCAAACTATTGGTTACTATACTAAAAAGTAGGCGTAACTATCTCTCTTTAACGAATTTTACTATATAATTTGCTACCACTTTATTTTAATTTTATTTTATAACCGTCATTGAACAACCGACCCAATTTAATGGGTTTACGACTACTAATGTGTAACTCCGTAGCCTTGTAATTTTGAACCAATCCAGAAGACAAGGAAACTGATTTAACGTGGATCAGTCACCATTTACTACACGGGGAGTCTTCGGCCGGCGAGGATCGAACCCACGACCTCTTGGACTTGGGCCCAGCGCCCTACCGACCAGGCTATCCCGGCCTGCAATTATGCCGTGCCGGCGGCACTTTATTAAAACTATTCCAGAAAGCGGAGCAGTTGGCCTCCCTGTACTCTATTGACCCTTGACAAAATGTCACATGAATATCAGGTTGCAGCGCGCGACATCTATGTGTTGTCACCAGCCACTAACGTTTGACTTGGACATGGCACCAACGTGTTGTCACCGGCAGCTAACGTTTGGTTTTCACGTGACAACACGTTGGTGTCACCGGACATGAAAGTGTTAAAATAAAATTTTAATTCAGGTTTTTAAGCCTAAATTGAGCACACAAAACTGCAAATGTATTTAATTCCAATATGCAATAAATTTTAAGTCTGGCCCATCACAGATCTGCCAAACGCTCTGTTGAATGTAACCAAATTCTACAACGGAAGTTTCATAGCTACAGAATTTTATTTCCGAGTGGTAGCAAATTTATACTTTTTACTAAAATAGATATTAAAGAAATTCGTCTAAAACTACTTATAAATAGTTCAGACACGCATCCTAAAGGCTGTTTTCCGAAGGCTCCGTCGTCTTATGAAATGATGCTTTATTACTAATAATGTACTATCTATATAACTGCTGTAAGTTTGCAACTGTTACTCATGACTGTTAGGTCAAGTTTAACGTATTTAACCCTTTCGCGCCGACTGTCACAAATACGTGACAGCATAAAACCGTATCAATCAGGGTAAAAAGATAAAACTGGTAACCAAAGTAGTTCTTTAGCAGTTAGTTTACTGAAAAACAAAAACCGATTTCATGATTCTCATTTCTTGCAAGCTTGAAGCTTCCTTTGCCTAGAACTAAATAAAAATTCAGCCTTTAAGATAAGGGGTCTTTAACTTTTGGCTTCCTAGTGCATCACCAGAAAGCCTCCACAAGGTTTCTCATAAGTAGACAGCGCAGACTATTTAACCCTTTCGCGCCGACTGTCACAAATACGTGACAGCATAAAACCGCAGAGATGCCAACTTGCTCCGGACAGCAAATATATATAATAAAGTGGTAGTTTATCAATTGTGATTCTTTGTTTAATAAATTGAATTTATAAGATTTTTCTCCAACACTATTTCGAAACAATTCATAATCTTATATTATTTACCACTATATAGTTCTTATCTCATGCTAAACCTTTTAAAAAGCAAGCAAAAATTGTCAAATCTTTGCAAAATTCACTTTGTAGTTATTTACCGTTTTTTTTAAAAATTATTTTGGGGTGTCCGGAGCAGTTGGCATCTCTGAAACCGTATCAATCAGGGTAAAAATATAAAACTGGTTATCAAAGTAGTTCTTTAGCAGTTTATTTGTGGGCGGAGTTATAATTGTTTGATTTATTTAATTCCCCATTATTTTGTTCAAAATAAAACTATTTAGTTATACTTTGAAGTGACTGATTATATATATGATTAAACTAACAATAATTAAAGTAAAAGCAAAGTAAGTCTGTCAAATTAGAAACGACTACATTTAAGTTACCGTTTTTTATTTAATTACAACTTGATTCTGATTTTGTACGAATGCTTTTCTGAATCACCCGTCCCCAAGGGATTAAAACGAATGCTATTCATACTGATTCTGAAAAGTTCGCAAGAAGTCAATATGGAGAAAAGCCACAATTTTATGAAAATGAAAAGCATTTCTGATCTTATTTTTAAATACTTAAAAACTTGCACAAAAAACCATTGCAAGCATTAGAAGTTATATGTTATACATATATAATTTATATATATATATATATGCTTACGACATATACGAAATGGTCTTGATAACGTAACCAGCAAATGGTTGACAATATTCCTGAATATATTAGATATGATACGCTAGCCAATCAACTAATCCCACATATTTATTTTAAAATTTTAATAATATTTCAATACTTTTGTGGATTAGAGCTGCAGAAGATAGCAATTCAGAGTTACAATAGGTTTTGAATAATTTTTAATAGTGGTAGTTAACAATTTTTAATCGATACCGCTAAAACATTCCAAAAGAAAATTTTGATTTTAGTAAAAAACTTAGCTAGCTTAGATATTCCGATTTTAACTACTTACCCACAAGAAAAGAATGTTTCATTCGTAGCAAAATTTTCAGCGTCATCCACAGTTTGGGGCAACTTTTTATTTAAAGTTTCTGGCAAAAATGAAGAACAGATGCCAGAAAAACATGTGATAATTGAAAATGCCAAGAAAGGTATAAATTTACCATATTCAACCTGAAAATATTAGAATGATGCATTAATATAGTATTTTAATAAATTAATAAATATCTTAAAAAATGATACATAGGGTGCTTCACTTTAAAATGGAATGCTTTATGAGAAGGTAAAACAGGTATACCAAAACCATAAAATTAACATACGAATGTAAGGTCAATATTCAAACCAGAAACACAGTAAACACAAATATTTAAAAATAATTTTATTTCACTATATTTCGACACGTCTCACATTTATGAGCAATATTACATTCATAAAGTACCCTATTTGAAGATAATTTGTTCTAATTTCAAACAGGGTGCTTTATAGAATGGCAAAACAGGCATACCAAAACAGTAAAATAAAGCATAGGAACATGGGGTCATGAACTTATTTGAAGAGACTAGAAGTGTTGCAATTTAAACGTAATATTCAAATACAATAAACACTAATCTTTAAAAATCATATTATTTTTACTGTATTCAGGGTTCCCTCGGTCCTTGAATAATTTTAATAGTGGTAGTAAATTTAGGTTAGTGCTAGAATATATTTCTTATTTTAATAAACCATTCGTTCAGTCTTTCGACACATGTCACACATCTGTGAACAATGTTGCATTGATAAAATATGCTATTTGAAGTTTATTAGCTTCATCTTCAAACACAGTGTTTTAAGAAAGGGTAAAGCAGACATACAAAAAGGATAAAAAACATACAGGAATATGGGGTAACAAACTCAACCTGTAACCAATTACTGTTACTCAACCTGTTGCAATTTGTACGTAAAATTGAAATACAATAAATACAAACCTCTCGATATAATTTTATTTTTACTCTATTTCCACGCCTGTCATACATTTATGACCAATTCCATAGAGAGATGCTTAAAATTTTAGCCAGAATGTTGTGACAGCTAGATAACGTTTATGAATATTTCTGACATGCTTCAGAAGGAGCGTATTCCATGCATCGTCAATTTAATACGAGTCTCCAAACATCACACCAAAGCTGTGAGCATCCTCTAAAGTAGAATTGGTCTTAAATTTGTAATAGGAGTGGAATTAAGAGTAAATATTAAAGGATTTTGAATGATTTTTGCTTGTTGTTAAGTATAATTTTTATGTATAATATACCGGGTCGGGATTGTGAGCCCATGTCTTTGTTATGCAATTTTCGTATTTTAAAAAAAAATTTATGTTTTTTTTCTTCTGAATACAGCATTATTTTAATAATCCTGATATCTAAAAAGTTTGTTTAAAAACCTTAGAATTTGAGCACAAAAATCCTCGCGCTCAGAATATTTTTAAATACATACACTTGTTTCGAAATATTAAATTTGGACTTTTAATTCATTGTCAGAATGCTTAATTTAAGCTATTTTCAAAGTTCGAATGCAAAAATGATAAGGAATAAGCTGAAAGCTGTTTTAAAGGTTGTGGATTAGTTCCAATGTCAATAACTTATGATAGTATCCTTTCCACGAGGTTAGCATCAGCAGCTATCCTGAATATACTGATAGGGAAGATATAGATGGAATGAAAATGAACATTGTTATATAAAAAGTTAAGTATTGTTTTTAAAGCATTTTTTTTATATCCTAAATCAACTGAGATCAAAATTCTGTCAATAGTACTAATAATAATTGAAAGTTATAAGGGTATTATGTTTTTACAGTATTTGACTAGATTTGTCAAAATTTGCACTTCTCTAGACAAGTTTGCTTTGGTTTCCTGTATATTATTTACGCAAAATTGAAAAAAAATAAAAATTAAATTAATAAAAAGAATAGTTTCGAAGTTATAAGTAATTTATGCTTAAATAGAAACAAGCCCTCTTAAAAAAACCTTTACCACTTTTGATCCTTTCGTCTGATCCTTAGTTACTTATGATTTTGATAGTCTTTACAAAATTATTTAAAATAAAATGCAAATGAGAGAGAAGCTTCAATTTTTTTAGAAAAAAAATGTATATAATTATGAAAAGAACATACATTAATAAAAAAATGCAATAGTATTTCACATAATGCTTTACAAATCAAAATAAAATAACCAAATTCGTAAATAGAAAAGTATGTTTCCCTAACAGGACAGACACACTCCACCAAAATGTTGCAACTGTAGTGAATCCCACACCGCAAACTACACTGGAAGCACGCAAACCCACTAGGAAGGGCTCTCGCCCGATTCCCACAACAACAGCCGGTATGGCTCGCAGACTTGTCATAATAATAAAAGAACTGCAAGAACTCATAAAGAATGAAGAGGTACTCCAATTACTGCAAAGANCATAAAACCGTATCAATCAGGGTAAAAATATAAAACTGGTAATCAAAGTAGTTCTTTAGCAGTTCATTTGTGGGCGGAGTTATAATTCTTTGATTTATTTAATTCACCATTACTTTGTTCAAAATAAAACTATTTAGTTATACTTTGAACTAACATTGATTATATATATGATTAAACTAACAATAATTAAAGTCAAAGCAAAGTAAGTCTGTCAAATTAGCAAAGACTGCATTTAAGTTACCGTTTTTTATTTAATTGCAACTTGATTCTGATTTTGTACGAATGCTTTTCTGAATCACCCGTCCCCAAGGGGTTAAGGGGCAAAGCAGGCATGCAAAAAAATAGTTAACAAATAAATGTGAAAAACGTAGGAACGAAAGTTATCTGATCCACTTATAGGAAACTGCAATTTCTACGTAATATTTAAAGATCATAAAAACTAATCTATAAAAATAATTTTACTTTTATTGTACTTCGACACATGTCACACATCTGTGAATAATATTGCATTGATAAAGTATACTATTTGAAGTTTATTAACTTCATCTTCAAACACAGTGTTTTAAAAAAGGGTAAAGCACAGACATACAAAAAAAAATAAAAAAACATACAGGAATATGGGGCAACAAACTCAACCTGTAACCAATTACTGTTACTCAACTTGCTGCAATTTATACGTAAAATTGAAAGACAAGAAACACAAACCTCTCGAAATAATTTTATTTTTAATCTATTTCCATGCGTGTCATATACATTTATGACCAATTCCATAGAGAGATGCTAAAAATTTTAGCCAGAATGTTGTGACAGCTAGAAGTGTTTTTGAATATTTCTGGCATGCTTCAGAAGGTGCGTATTCCATGCATCGTCAATTTAATACGAGTCTCCAAACATCACACCAAAGCTGTGAGCATCCTCTAAAGTAGAATTGGTCTTAAATTTGTAATAGGAGTGGAATAAAGAGTAAATATTAAGCGATTTCTAATGATATTTGCTTATTGTTAAGTATTTTTTTCACGTATAATTTGTATGTATAATATTCCGGGTAGGGACAGCGAGCCCATGTCTTTGTTTTGCAATTTTCGTAATATTTGTAATATCTCATAATCATTTAAAAAATATTTTTTAAAATTTGAAGTCATAAATGCATGCAGATTAGAATGTCTTTTTCTCTGTCTTTACGACATATTCTGAATTTTAAAACGATTCTTTTTAGTTCCATGAACTAGTAACAAAAAATAAAAATAAATAAATAAATAAAAAAGTTTTATGCTAATAATTTTAAGCATCCTGCACTATCTCTAAACTTTAATTTTAAAAACAAATTTATGTTTTTTTTCCTTCAGAATACTGCATTATTTTAATAATCCTGATATCTTAAAAGTTAGTTTAAAAAACCTTAGAATTTGAACATAAAAATCCTCGAGTTCAGAATATTTTTAAATACATCACTCTTGCTTCGAAATATTAAATTTGAATTTTTAATTAATTGTCAAAATGCCTAATTTAAACTATTTTCAAAGTTCGAATACAAAAATGATAAGGAGTAAGCCATTTCAAAGGTTGTGGATTAGGCCCAATATCAATAACTTATGAACGCCTTTTATAACTGGAAGCCTCCACACGGTTTCTTCTTATAGACAGTCCGATCAGACCATTGTGAAATAGTTCCACAGACCGAACGAGTCATTTATTACAAAATCTAATTAAAATAAGAAAGTGGTAGCAAATATATGACAATTTTTTTATATTTCTTAATATTACTGGTTTGCCTTATTCATTTGTCAACCACTACAGATTCAATTCTCAAACATATATGATACATTTCGCTCAATTACTTTTATAAAAGGTTTTGGGTTCATGCGCACAACTGGTTCACTTTTCAAGCAGTCTGCGCGGACTACTTATAAAAGACCGTGTGGAGGCTTTTTGATGTAGGAGGTGATCGGTTAGCATCAGTACCCATCCTGAATATACTGATAGGGAAGGAATAGATCAAATGAACATAAACATTGTTATATAAAAAGTTATGTATTGTTTTCAAAGTATTTTTTTTGTCCTAAATCAAATGAGATCAAAATTATGTCTATAGTACTAATAATTGAAAAGTTATAAGGGTATTATGTTTTAAAAGTACAGTATTTGACTAGATTTATCAAAATTTGCATTTCTCTAGACAAGATTGCTTTGGTTTCCTGTATATTATTTACGCAAAATTTAATAAAATAAAAATTAAATTAATAAGAAGAATAGTTTTGAAGTTATAAGTAATTTATGCATAAATGGGAACAAGTTCACATAAAAAAGAAACCTTTACCACTTTTGATCCTTACGTCTTACGTCTGATCCTTAGTTACTTACGATTTCGATCATCCTTACAAAATTATTTAAAATAAAATGCAAATGAGAGAGAAGCTTCAATTTTTTTAAAAAAAATTGTATATAATTATGAAAAGAACATACATTAATAAAAAAATGCAATAGTATTTCACATAGCGCTTTACAAATCAAAATAAAATAACTAAATTCGTAAATAGAAAAGTATGTTTCCCTAACCATTTTCAACGTTTATAGCAGTTATTTTGGTTTTTAATTTTACAGCAATACAGAAAGCAAATTTTTAGCTAGATTTCCCCAAGACTGCAAATTCAACTGTCGAACTTAAAAATGAATTTATGATTATTAATGGTAAAATTTTGAAAAAATATCATTCCTTTCTTTTAAATATAAAAAGTCTAGAAGTGTGTTTTAATGGTTAATATTTTCAGAAATGTGCTAATTTACTTTATACCTAAAGTCGGGGTTTCTCAGGAAGACAGTTAATTTGGGTTCCGTAGCCGAAAAAAATTGGGAACCACAGGTCTAGGTATTAGTATCAAACGTGTTAAATTGCCATCATTGTATTATTTCTGATAAATGGCAACAGTAGTTCAATAGAAAAAGTGGGGCATAGATTTATTCATCTACATGGTTATATGCCTAGGCGGTTTACCCTAGGCGGGTAAATATTGAGTAATGTCTTGTATAATTTAATTTATTTTATACGTTATTTTATCTGTTGAAAGAACCTTGAGTGCGAATCGTTTACTGCTAATAGCTTAAAGATAATTATTATGCTTGAATAATAATTATACTATAGAAGAACGAATTTTTTGTTGTCGAATTTATGCAAGTACTCGAGCATATCTAATTTGGATTAGATAATTTTAAGTCTGAAGTAAGTTTTCTTCAATAAGCTACAGGTCATTTTTAAAATTAAATTTATAGTCTTGTTTATTTTTTATCTGAATGTTCAAGTTTAAAAGGAACGTTTAGGTTCATATACAAACATTTAAATTTGTCTGCGCTTTGTAAATAACACGTAAGGCAAAAACAATTGATCTTACGTATCGCATCACAAACTGAAATGTATTATCGCTTTCATCCTACTACTTCCAACGTTGTAAAGAAGTTAGGGCATTTAGTACACTTTCGAGAGAATTTTAAGAAATCCTGCTTAAGACGATATCGAATTGCATATAAATCTATCTATAGGAGAGAGACTGATTGCAGATTCGAAATCAGCCACATTAAAATATCAGCCACATAACCACATGCAACATGAAATAAAAAAATTGCTCCCAAGTGTTATCTTTCAATGTTATCTTTTATTAAAAGAAATATAGATAATGAATTACGTCTTATCAACTTTAAAAGGTAACATCCATTTTTTTAAAAAGCATTTATAACCTTGAATGCAAAATGTTTTATATTAAGGGTGGCGATTATGGAACAAGTTCTTACCAGATAAACTATGTAAGGCACAACGAGTGTTGATCCTGTTCCGATTGTGCAAGCCATTCCCATTCCTATTCCCCTCAACGAAGTTGGGAAAAGCTCAGGTCCTTGTTGGTACAACGTCATGAAGGCTGAACTAGTGCCAACTTTAGCTAATAAGGAAGCAATCACTCCAATGTTTGGATAGTCTGGAAAAAAGAATATAGTTTTTAAAATTTAAGGTATTTTTCTTTTATATGACACATAATATAGCTAGATGTTAAATTATCTAGCATTTAAAAAAAAGGAAAAGAACTCGTAGTCCAAACTCTTTAACTATCCTATCCAATCAGGACAATGCTTAATCCTTTTTATGTATTTGAGAATATCGATGCATCTATAATTACTGTGACTTAGCGAATTACCAAATAAAAACTTAAAGGACACGCATACAGGGAAAATGTACCGGGTGTACTTATTGTCTAGAAAGGATGTTATGATATGGTCGGGATAGCCTCCTTGGTAAGGGGGTTGGACCCATGTTCAGAAAGTCGTCAGTTCGATCGACACCGGGCGAAGAGTCCCGGTGCACAATATGGTGACTGGTGTAAGTTAAATCTGTCGAGATCACAAATTTCATATCCAAGTTACGATAACGAATCAATACCCTTGAGATACTGTATCAGAGATAGATCGTGCTCTGGTTTAGGTCCAAATTATGATCTGCCGATGGATGGTGTGTGAATGCGTCCTCCCTGTAAAACGAGCTGTGACGTGTCAGTGTCAGAGAAGTTGAATTCTTGACCATAGATGGCACCACTAAAGAAATAAGAAGCTACGCACCCCTCTGCCTTAAAATAGGCTTGCCAGTATTGACAAATGGCATGGGACAACAACAACAATATAATATTTGGCTATCTAATTGGAGGCAGGACTTACTTTAGTTTTGCAAACACCTATCGTTTTATGATTGATGCTAATACATTTATATATTTATTAAAATAATTTATGTGTAGTGGCAGTCAAATTATTAAATTAAAGTATACACTTCGTCACATATTTAATTACAACATCTTTGATCTGGTGAGATTTGGCAGCTACTTAATAACTAGTATTAATTCTTTTAATAATTTTCTTCTAATATTAAATATTACTTTTAATTTTGAAGACATCGGTATTAAATTGAAATAAATTTTTTATCAAGTGATTAATTACGGTGTTTATTGTTTTATGAATAATTGAGTGCGCAACAGATATTATCCAGCGAGCTTGTTGATTCAAATCAGCTTGTTACCACTGCTTATAGCAATACTTTTGAGTAGTAATAGCTTACGTTAATAACTAGTCAAAAAGTCTATATGAAATCAGAGAAATACAAGTAAAACAAAATTCTGTTTAATATCCAGCGATTATTTTTTTTTAATATATGAAGAGCTTATTGGATGAGGAAATTTTCAGGGGCTTATTAATCAGGGAATATAAAGTAAAATGATCCCATCAACATGAGCATGCTCAGAATAGTTTATGCTTTCACTTGAATTTTGACACATCTAATCCACATCTTACTCGGTTGGAAGTTAAGAAAAAAACATTATTGCTATGGAGAGAGCCTGTTTGCATCAAGTGCACGCTAAATGGATGCCAAGTTCCAAGCATGAACAAATGCATCACCACCTACATGAGAAAGCCTCCACAGGGTTTCTTATAAGTAGTCTGCGCAGATTATTTAAAAACCGAACCACTTGTGCGCATGAACCCAAATACTATTTTAAAAGTACTTGAGAGAAATTTATCATATACATATATTTGAGAATTGAATCTGTAGTGGTTGACAAGTGAATAAAACAAACCAATTATATTCATAAATTAAAAAAACTTTTAGACATATATTTGCTACCACTTTCTAATTTTAAATATAAGTCATATTAATTGGTTTACCTTAAAAGCCACCCCATAGACTGCAGACACGCCAACATAATCAAAAATAACGGTAAATAACTAATTTTTGCAAATATTTGACTATTTTTGCTTGCTTCTTAAAAGGTACAGCATGACTTAAATTCTAGCTAGATCATGTAATTTGGCAAGGTACCTGCCCGCGCAAGCGGGCACTAGACCTCTGATCTGTGATATGCCCTAGGGCGACTGAGACTAATGACATTGGAAATGAGGACGGGAAATTTGGAGGAGTACGAGGCAGTAACGGCTCGAGATATCTGCATATGTAGTTCAAATCATGATAACATAAAAGAATTAGTTGGGGATAAAGATATGAAAATTGGCAAAATAAGTAATGAATAATTAAGAAATTTATGTACAAATATTAAAGTACAAGTCTGATAAAAATTAAAGGCAAATATAATAAACTATTTACAATATGTACAAGTAGTATCCTCTGATAATACGACGACCCGGCCGTCCCGGTACTCCACCGCTCGTGCCGGGTTGCTCGTCGTTCTAGTATTAAAACCTACAGCTTGCCCGGTTGGGACCCTATTTAAAAAACAAGGTTGCTCTTGCCCCGGGTTCGCCGTAGGCCTTGTGTCATGACTGTGTTTAGTTTGTGTGTGTATTCCTATCTATTGTATCTACGTGAGAGTGTTCCGTCTGATAATAGGAAACTTAAGTTCAATAAGGTGGTGAATTATATAAGCCTACAAATTATTTAGAAATAGTGGTGGATAAAAATTTTCCAAATTGTATTTATTAAACCACGAATCACAATTAATTAACTACCACTTTGAAATACATATTTGCTGACCGGAGCATGTTGACATCTCTGAGACTGCTGAACTCAAACTGTCTTTTATTTTAACTTTTTATACTATTTCATGATGTATGGGATATGGGCCTTCTGCACGGCCCAGGTGCCCAACTTTTTACAAATAAAGAAAGAAAGAAAGAATTGGTTTACCTTCATAATGGTCTGATCGGACTACCTATAAAAAAGCGTGAGGAGGCTTTCAGTTATGGGAGGCGTTTTAAACGACGTAGCTTGGCCTTCTTTTGTGCAGAGATGCCAACTACTCCGGATACGCCAAAATAATTAAAAATGCGGTAAATATATACAAACAAAATTTTGCAAATATTTGACTATATTTGCTTGCTTTTTAAAAGACACAGCATGTTGCAACTAAGTGCAGAGATGCCAGCTTGCTCCGGACAGCAAATATATATTTTAAAGTGGTAGTTTATCAATTGTGATTCTTGGTTTAAAAAATTCAATGCAGTAGATTTTTATCCACCACTATTTTTAAATAATTCGTAGGCCTATAGAATATTGTCATGCTACACCTTTTATAAAGCAAGCAAAAATAGTCGAATATTTATAAAATTTGCTTTGTAGTTATTTACCGTTTTTTAATTATTTTGGCGAGTCCGGAGCAGTTGACATCTCTGTAAGTGGTGAATTGTTTAGAAATAGTGGTGGATAAAAAACACTATTGGTAAAATACCACTTTACGAAATATTAGTGTGAAATAATATTAAAAAATAATGGTAAAGTTACCTTCTTCTGGCAAAATGACGGGCAACATACAAGAAAAAGTTGACAAGGCAAAGGCACAGACTGAACACCATCTTCGACCGATTCTTTCCATGAAAAGCCACGTAGAGAAATGTGCTGGTACTTCCACCAATGAAACAAGAAAAAAGTTGAAAAACTGATTTCCTGCCAAGTTTTTCACATTCATTTGAAGACCAAAGTACGGGATAGAATTTCCTATCCTTAATAAAAAAGAAAATGAAGTTAATTCTATCAGTCTAAAAAATAAATATTACTCACATATAGAGACGTGATGAACAAAATTGTTGTAAATATTAATGATCTTATTAACTTTTATAACTAGAAATAATTTTTTAGAAGACAAATGTTTCGAAATTTTGATTGCTTACAATGCATTTTTGCCAATTTTTATTAGTTCCGAGGTTGCAATTCCCAAATCGATATGCAATTGTAAACACGATATTACGACTTGGCAGTATGGATACTTTATTTTAATCTGTCTTCAGAAAACATATATTTATTAAAACTACCACTACTTATTAATAATTAAAAGTGATTGCGCACTCGGAAAGTTGTGATGGTACCAGGAAATTTACCTTTCTCGATAGTAAGGTAATATTGAAATGATATTTTGCCGGTTTTTAATGTTTTCTTTATTATTATCAGTCCTGTTTAAAATACTATTTAATAAGTTTAAAAACTTGCGTTTATATAAATGATTCATTTTGTGTGATGTTGGACAAAATCATTTAAAATTAATATAAAAATCTGACAATTAAAATTAAATTAATGAATTTTACTCTCACTTAAAACATAAAAATGAATTACTATGGAGAATCCGCAATAATTCGCAGCTATTAACACGTTGCTTGCCCGTCTGGCCAAACGGTAAATAACTTCAAACTATATTTGCAAATATTAGACAGATTTTTGCTAGTTTTTGAAGAGGTTTAGCTGACATATAAGAAAAAAGTTGTGAATTTTATAAGCCAGCGAATTGTTTAGTAATAGTGGTGGATAAAAATCTACTAAATTGAATTTATTAAACTAAGAATTACATTAATAAACTACTATTTGAAAATATTCATTCGCTGTCCGGAGCAAGTTGGCATCTCTGCGAATATAAATAAAACTATTTTTGTCTGTTCTATATTACATTAATTTCTTCAAATCATTTTAGTAACGATAATAACATAAAAAAATTAAAAATTTTCTCGAATTATGTGTTTCGAATAATCTTGGCTTCTCCGGTCACCGGTGACACCCGTGGCGCTACGAATAAACTCAGTGTTGGTCACCGGTGATCCCCATGGCATTCAGCGTGTTAATGTATCTATAAAAATAATAGGAAGAGTTTGTGTGCTTGTCTTTCCTAAAATTCTACACTAGGATCCTGAAACCAATATAAATTTGATAGCTACTTTTTAAATATAAAATGCTCAAACAGTGATTTTTGTGAAGCTTCTGTGCATCGTAAGCCACAGCGTATTTTACCAACAAAGCGTTCTAGATTTTTTCCGACAGAGAAAAGCTTATTTATTTTTATTTTTTCAATTTAGACATATATATGGAGCAGTCCCGCCCCCCTCATTTGAATTACGGACTGCGTAAAAAAAATAAAATAGACGATTTATCCTTTCACTTCAAGTGCAGAGAATGAAAAATAGTTTCTCAATCAATCTTAGAACTGCTTTTTTTTCGTGACGTCATTGCAATGCTATCTGACTTTTAAAAAAAAGAACTGTTAAAAATATAACTCTTATAATATAATGTTTAAATAATGACCCCGGATAACTAGACGATAATTTAAGCTACGAAATCAGACACGAAAACGTACTTTCGCTCAAAATATAGACGATAACTGCAATCTGGGAAATATGGTTTGGTTAGGAGAGCGGTGTGAACTTCGAACCTCTTAATGTCACTTTTACTTTTCATATATTTATCTACATCTCGAGAACTTTATAAGCGAATTTTAAAAGAAATTTCACAAACAATTATAAAATTCTTTNATATGTATATGTACGATTTAACCTATGACTTCTAGCGAAGCGAATGAAAAATAGTTTTTCAATCAATCTTAGAACTGCTTTTTTTTCGTGACGTCATTGTAATGCTATCTGACTTTAAAAAAAAAAGAACTATTAAAAGCATTTCTTTTAGTATAATGCGAAAAAAAATATAACTTTTATAATATAATGTTTAAATAATAACCCCGGATTACTAGTCGATAATTTAAGCTACGAAATTAGACACGAAAACGTACTTACGCTCAAAATATAGAAGATAACTGCAATCTGGGAAATATGGCCCCAATAGTTTGGTCAGGAGAGCGGTGCGAACTTCGAACCCTTTAATGTCAGTTTTACTTTTCGTGTATTTCTCTACATCTCAGGGGTGAAAGCGAGACGGAAAAGAGGAATGGCTGGTAGTAAAACTATTTCGGTTATAACTAGTTTCCGGGAGGAGTTGACTAATTCTTTTTAAAATATTTCAACAATATCTACATTATCCTTGGAAAATAAGCAGTTTCATATATAGACTAAAATTATAAAAGAAATCTTGATAGTTACAGATATTTTATTTTTCTCGAAAAAAATGCTAAAATGAAATGTCTTTCGTACCAGTTTTTGCACTTTTCCGTCTTGCTATATAAGGGCTTTCAGCCATGCTACATCTCGAGAACTTTATAAGCGAATTTTAAAAGAAATTTCACAAACAATTATAAAATTCTTTATTTTACAGATAATTAATTCCTAGCAAAAAAACAATTTTAAATAATTATTTTTTATTATTTTATTTAATAATAGTCGAAAAACTCTCATGTTGTAAGGTATAGACATTTTCACACCATTTAAAAAATGTAATTTTATTTTAATGAAATGCAAAATTTAACAGAAATTGGCAAAATAGTTCCTTAGATTTCAAATCTTGAATAACTGAATTTTTTTAAACGCGGCTACCCCTTATATTTTGAGGGACGGAAATCAAAAATCAAAAATCGCAGAATAAAACGTATGTTAATTCAGAGAAAGTATGTTTTTTCAGTTTGATTCCGTAACTTAAAATATCAACTGCTTTTTTTTTTGCACACTGAGCGATTTTAATGAGCAAGAAATATTCTAAAATGAATTTGTAAAATATACTCATGGAGAAGAAGGTGAATAAATATTAATTACTCACCAACATAGTGTGACAAGCAAGAACCTTTTGCGAAGAGTAGGATATCTAAAGAAATCTTTTGGGGAATTGACTTCGCCATTTGCTTGTAATTTTTTCTTCTCACCCAGTTTCTAAAATAACAATTGCAACAAATTGAAATTGAAGAAAAAAACAATAAAGACAAATAACATCCTGTAAATTTGATAAAACATGGGATTTTAGAACATATGGGGAAATGACCAACCCTAACTTCTTCATTTTCAAACATTTATTTAGTTTACGAGCACTAAATATTGCATAATGGTACCAATTAAAATTCTGTGTTGTTTTCTGCATAGTAGCCAATGCAAGTGAAATCAGGGAAAGATGTGATATAATTTTCATCCCGAAAATAACGTCACATTTATCACTACTGTAAGCTCTCTCCTCCTGTGCCTATGTTGTTAACATGTACATTAACATAACATATAAAAAAGTTGAATTATTATGTAAGACTAAAGTACACTAAAACACTTTTATTGAAACGTTGTAAAACGAACGTTGGCAACGAAACTGAAACAAACATTTACATTTTAACACCTTTACGTACACCACTGTATGCTACATTTTTATTAAAGCATATCTTATATGATAGTTTTACCCAGTAACAGCCGCCACAAAATGTGTTTTTTAGACCCCCCTAGTATGTAATCGTAAATCTGAAAAGGTTACAAAATTGGAAAAGTCAAATTCTCAAGTATTCTTAATTTTTATTTTCAGTAACCTCACGGTAATGTAATAAAATGTGTACAAAGTGTAAGATATTATTGAAAGAGTTCTAAAATTTTTCCATGAATTTTGATGCTTGTTGCTGTTTCAGTGTGAGTAAAGTAAATATTGATTTACGTTAATCACGTTTAGCTCCGCAGGTGAAAACACTAAAGGCTCGTTGACACCCTCAGAAACAGATCGGTTTTGACCGAAAAAAACCAGTTCTTCCTACTAGTTTTCTTAAACACATTCTGGAAAGATTTCTTGGAAGATATAATTTGAAAAGTTGAGATTGCTTTTAATATTTACGTTCGAAAGTCATGCTCAAATGCTGAAGAGACAATTATGCCTGCCAACTCTTTCCGAAAATGGGTTTTCCAAGTGGTAGTAAAACAATTACAGCAAAAACAATCTTACTCGTAATAATAATTAGATATTGACGAGATTGTAATCCGCTATAATAGTCTATATATTTCTGCTATGTATTTGTTGTAATTATTTATACGTAGTGGTGATCAAGCTCATTTATAATCATAAAAACAGAGATGCCAACTGCTCCGGACATGCCATAATAATTAATTAAAAAAAACGGTAAATAACTACAAAGTAAATTTGCAAATATTTGACTATTTTTGTTTGCTTTTTTAAAGGTACAGCATGACATTAGTACCATAAAGTGATGAAATATATAAGCCTTCGAATTATTTAGAAATAGTGCTGGGTAAAAACCTGATAAATTGAATTTATTAAATCAAGAATCGCAATTAAATAAACTACCACTCGAAAATATTTAGTCGCTGTCCGGAGCAAGTTGGCATCTCTGTGATTATTATTATTTAAAAAGTTTAATGGATTAACATGAGTTCCGTCATCTTTCAAGACAATCACAGATTTCCAGTAAAGTTTTTTTTAATTTTCAATAGCCATCATTCCAGTCGCCCAAGGCGTCATCTTCCATGAAGGTGTGGAGTGTCCGTTTCGCGGACAGGTACACCGAGTACTTTACTAGTCTAAATGCATTCACTTTAAGTTGTGAACTAAAAGAAGAAAGCTAGAAATCGTAGATCTTTGTATTTTCTTAAAACTGACTTTTGAATTTTATTAATCACATGTTTTACCAATACCTTCTACACAAGAGAAGGCCTCATCACGTTCGACCGTAAACAGGAAATTTGATCCTTTAGTAGTCCAAGCGTAATGACATCTTTCGTATTTTCCATCACTGCTCAACTTAGTAGCCCGAACAAAGCGACATCTTTCTTTTTTCTCTCCACCGACTGTGCAGTTTATGTTCGTTACCTCCGACTACTAAATTGATCCGTGCTGAGGCCTTCTTTGTTCTAGGAGGTGTTGGTGTTACAATTTTTAGCCGCTCGTGGCATTCTTGGATATTACTATGCATTTACTCAATTTAGTTTTATTTTATGAGCTTGAATTTGCGTTATATCTTTCCTTACTGTTCCCTTTGAATCTAATTATTTAAGATGAAGAATCAGATAAATAATTTCCTATCAATTTGATTTTTGTATTTAAGGTGGTAATGAATCTCATAAATTTATTTTAAATTCTTGGAGTTATAAATTTGTTAAGATTTTGACCACCACTAAATGAAAATAAATCACTCTTATATAAAAGCATAAGTTATCAGAGATGCCAACTTGCACCGGACAGCAAATATATATTTTAAAGTGGTTAGTTATCAATTGTGGCTTAATAAATTCAATTTAGTAGATTTTTATCCGCCACTATTTCTAAATAATTCGTAGGCTTATATAATTCACCACTTTCTATTACTAATGTCATGCTATACCTTTTAAAAAGCAAGCAAAAATAGTCAAATATTTGCAAAATTTACATTGTAGTTATTTGCCGTTATTTAAATTATTTTGGCGTGTCCGGAGCCGTTGGCATCTCTGAGTTATAGAATCGAATGCGAGTATTCTCACTTAGATGAATTGGTAAGAGCCCCTCGCGGGGCTGAAGCTAAGATAACTACCTCATATCAGGATGAATCGAATGCGAGTGTAGGTTATAGCAGTTGTGAAAAATCTATTTTTTCCCCACAATTGCAATTAAATTATTGTTCCATTACCACTAGCAAAATGAAGAGTTAATCGGAAAGAGTTAATGTTTATAGGTTCTCTTGCAAATGGGGTGAATTTTGTTCGAATCTATCCGATGGCTGGTCGATTCGAATTTCGCTCCCGGCTCACAACCGACCACAGTGCTGACGTAAAATATCCTCAGTGGTAGACGGATATTGGGTTTGAGTCCCCTTGCCGTCAGGCTAACAGTCGAAGGTTTTCGTTCTTTTCCTCTCCATGTAACATAAATGCGGTTTTAGTCCCATCAAAAAGTCCTCCACGAAGGCAAAATTTTGCCCAATGCTTGATCCAGAAGTTCCCCTGTCTTCTGGATCGGGTTCAAAACTACAAGGCGACGGAGTTGAACACTAGTAGTCGCAAATCGAAAATTGGGTCGGCTGTTCAACGACTTGTATAAAATCAAATAGAAAATCAAAAGTAAAACGCTGAAGCATTACTACAAGAAACAGATTAATTATTTAAGAAAACACAACTGTCATACGATAAAATTAAAAAGTTGTTCATAAAGTAATAATAAATACATGGAATAGTATAATAACAAACCTGAATCTTTTGTAAAAGCTGATTTCCTTCATGAGCAGTTTTTCCATTCATTTTGCTGATTTTACCCATAATTTCAGCTGCTTCTTCATATTTTTCACGGGAAATCAACCAACTTGGAGATTCAGGAAGAACCCTGTAAGAAGAAAGCTGATTTTTATTTCTCATAAAAAAGGCTCTTTCATTATTGAGCCATGTTAAAGGGGATAATTTGCAGATGCATTATCCTTTTACCTTATCTATATAACAAAATTGAGACATGGAGACTTAGACGGAGTCATACCGATAAGCAAAAATTTATTTGTTTTAATAGGGGGGGGGGCTAATAGAGCTGTACAACAGCAAGTCACGACAAAATAGGGGCATTAGGCAGTAATTACAAGTAAAACTTTTAAGGGGGGACAACATAGTAAAATGTTCAAAAAATGAAGAAAAAAAATTTGCTGATACTTTAATCCTTTTTTTATTATTGTGTCAAATATTGTTCATAAGCAACATGCGACGCATTCCGCTCTTTGGCAAGCATCAACATGTGAACCTGTGGGCTTACTAGAATAATGTATTTGCTTATTCCTATCAAAACATTGACCTCTTTTTGCGGCTGGGTTCTCTCTTATTAGGTTTGAAGATGATAAGCTCGCTCTCCACGTAGTTTAAATATACGTGGTTTAAAAACTTCCAAGTATCAAGAAGTTTTAATAAATAAAGTCTTACTAGTTTTAATTCTTAAATTGATTTCTCCTGAACAATTTCAAAATGTTCTTTGTCATTATACAGTGTTCCTGAGGTCTGTAAATTTTTTTAAAGTGGTAGAAAAAGTGATATAAATCGAGATATTTTAAGCTGTCAATAAATATTTAATTTTAAGGAAAAATGTTTAGGCGCAAAAAATAACTCGGGAATAATTTTGTATTTCTGAAAAGAAAAATCGATTTAAGCCTTTTTCAGTAGTCTTGAAAATTTTTAACTACCGCTCATGTATTTTTTTCAGGTTGATGAAACCCTGTTATATTACCTCAAGATTAGCGATGCCAACTGCTCCGGATACGCTAAAGTAATAATTAAAAAAAATGCAAATAACTACAAAGTAAATTTTGAAAATATTTTACTATTATTGCTTGCTTTTTAAAAGATATGGCATTACATATGCTCTCTAAAGTGGTGAATTATATAAGCCTACGAATTATTTAGAAATAGTGGCTGATAAAAATCTACTAAATTGAATTTATTAAACCAAGAATCGCAATTAATAAACTACCACTTTAAAATATATATTTGCTGTACGGAGCAAGTTGGCATCTCTTCAAGTGTACAAAATCTTCTCAAAAAATTATGTCGCAGTTTCTTGAAAATTTATATTCGGATAAATAATATGCAGTTCGTTCACAGGTTGGAATAATTTGCAACTGCCTATTGCGTATTCTTGATTTTCGTACTCCTTCCTTATTTGAAAAGCGATGAACTAAATCTGTTGTGATTCAATTCCTGAGCAGAATTAATGTTCTTTTTCCCGAGTTAATAGTTAAATGTGAACACCTGCTTATGTGAAAGTATTTCTCACGAGTTTGACTCATCTTTATATTGAGCAAGGCCACATGAATTAAAAAAAGTGAATAAATATGCGCAAAAAAGCTGTTAGCGCAGGTGGTTATTCAATTTATTTATTTAATTTAATGCCTCGACCCGTCATATGTTCAAAACATATCTATTAAATGTCAGATGCATTGTTAACATATCAGTTACTATGTTAAATTGTTAATGCTAAATTTTGAAAAAGAAACTGTAATAAATGCTTAACTCATTGAGAAAAGTTATAAACATGACAAAAAAATATAAAAATCTGGTAAAATATCTTACAATTTCAAAAGAACAGATTAAAAATGCTCAGATTAAAAATGCTTAAATTTATTACAATTAAATTAAATCTTTAATTTAATTTATTACAATTAAATTAACAATCAGTGAAAAAAAAAGAACATAGTGACGTGCTTGCATAACTAATGAAGAAAAGTTCGCAGAATTAATAAATAAATAAATAAAATAAACAAATTAAATAAAAACAATGGAAAAGTTGTGCTTACTTTTGATAAGATTAAAATCATTGATTGGTGTTTTAAGTACTAAAAGCAATCTTAATGACTTCAGCAAAAATCAACACAAATTAAGCGCAAATAAAAGTGCAGAAATGGGCATATTACATATTTCGGTTCTATTAACAAGAACCTTTCTCATTACCCAAACATAAAATGACAGTAGAAAAGTAAAGAGACAAAAACGTACAAAATGGCTTAACAAGTATGAATTGAGGGAAAGCTGTAACGAGAAAAAGAAAATGGTTATAAGAAACAAGTTTGTGTAAGTTTAACGGGAACCCCAAGATTAAATTAGAATAAATTTTCAAATATTGAAGAAGGATGAAATAATAGAAAAATATTTAAATGGATTATTACTATATTTTAAAATATGGAATGACTTCCAGGAATCAAAGTCGGTAAATGAAGAGCGGTGTTTATTGATTTCAGCAGAAGAAAATTCAAAGTGGGGATAGTTTATAAACCAAATTTCAAACTAAGTAGTTCAAAATGGTGTAAACTTTTTTTTAAAATCTTACTATTCAAATGCTTTTTTTAACGTTTCTGAATAAAACGATTTTAAAAGAATTAAATTATTACATTATGCAGGAAATCAGCTTTGGATAAATAAGTTTTATAATTGTGCGCAAAATCTTTTATGTAACTTTAAATATTTCCAGCTTCATTATATTCCTTTTGATCAAATATGTTAATATGAAGCATGATTGAATCGTCTTTTCCGCATGTCAATATGAAATGCAACGAAAAGACAACAACTGCGCATACATAAAAATTTCTTACTGAACAAACTTATTATTAAAGAATTTCTTTAGAAAGTTCATTTTTGCATTTGATCATTAGTGTTCAATCTGATTTAAGAAATGCAGCTGAATAATATCAGGTTAATGACATGGATATCAAGATTGTTGTCAATTACAATTATTGAAATGTTGGCAAAGTTTTAAATTTTTAAATTGGCGCTTCAATGGTCAAATCCAAACTTCGGTACTGTAAAAGTGGTAGACGATACTAAGTAAAAATGTCAAAATCTTTCATAGGTATTCTTCTTAAAAAATTAAGCCATACCGATTTTATTTTGTTTTATTGTATAACTGTCGTTCAGCAGCCGACCCGATTTTCGGATTTACGACTACTAATGTTCAACGCCATAGCCTTGAAATTTTGAACCCAATCCAGAAGACAAGGGAACTCCTGGATCAGGTATTGGGTGAAATTTGTCTTCATGGAGGACCTTTTGATGAAACAAACCGCATTTGCTTTACTTGGAGAGGAAAAGAACGAAAACCTCCCACGGTTAGCGTGATGGCAAAGGGACTCTAACCCACTATCCGTCTACCACTTAGTATATTTTATGTCAGCGTTGTGGGTGCAGGCCGAATACAGAATTCGTATCTACCAGCCAGCGCTAGGATTCGAACCCGGTTCACCTTATTGGAAGGCGAACGCTTTATCCCCTGAGCCATCATGGCTCTGGACAAGTTTTACTGATCTGCAGTGGCTTAAGGGATAAAACGTTTGCCTCCCAAATCAGTGACCCTGGTTCGAATACCAGCCGTGGCCGGTTTATACGAATTCTGCTCCCATGTAAAACATTCATAGTCGTGGACGGATTATAGGTTAGAATCCCTCTCCGTCTGACAAATTGTGTGTTTTTGTTGTTTTCCTTTCGATGTAACGCAAATGCGGATTTGTTCCATTGAAAAGTCCTCCATTAAGGTCCTGTACTTGATCGGTAAGCTCCCTGGTCTTCTGGGTTGGGATCAAACTTAGAAGGCGACCGAGTTGAACATTGACAGTCGTAAACTCAGAATTGGGTCGGTTGTTCAACCCTGATTATGAAATAAAATAAATCTATTTAACAACTGATGTTTTGAATTTTAGAGATTTCCAGCCGAATTTTCAAAAATTTGGGTTCATAATTGAGGCTGAAAATATCAATCAGTGTTAAAAGATTTTATAAAATTCTAAATGGTGATAATTGACAATTATTACACCCTATCATAAAAATATTGCAGACACTTTCGAAATTTTTCAACCCACTCTAATAAATAAACTCGATAATTTGATTGAGATTTGCTTAATATAGTGTAATGTTAAAATGTTAGACTTAATTATTTATGCAAACTTTCTTCTGATTAAAAACGTTTAATGTAATAGATTGTTGTATGAAAGTTCAACATCATCACATGTATTTTTTAGCTAAATACAGCCAGCGACTTGTGTATGGCTGCCAAAACTAAAAATATTTCATTTTCCGAATTATTTATAGAGATTTTTTTAAAAATAATTTTGTAGCAAGTTCTATGAGGAAAAAAAGTTTCAAATATACGTTTTCTTCCAAAAGTTTAAAATATACGCTGTATTCTGCCAAAAGTTTTAAATATACGATGTATTCCCGAAAAAGTTTAAAATGCTGTATTCCTGCAAAGGTTTAAAATATACGCTGCAAGAAGACTTTTTTTGTAAGTACAGCAGATTTTTATTTTTGATGTAATAATTTAAAATAAAAATTAAAGAAATTTGGACCCAGTGTTTTTACTTACTTCCAATATACAAGAAGACAAAGTGCAGCTGTGGATGTTACAATGCTTAGATGTATCCAATTTCTGGTTAAGTAGGCAACTAAGGGTAAGAGGCAAAGACCCATTGTCCAGGAAGTCGTGGATATACCGTTCATTCTTGCTCGTATACCTGGGCTAACTAATTCCAGCACTGAATCAAAAATAAGTAAACATAAATACACATCAAAGTAAAGGAAACAAATCAATTTTATTTTGCTGTAAAACATGTTTCACATAAAATTTATTTTGCGTGATTGACCCTACTCATACTCATATATGATGGTTATCTTAGCATCAGCCTTGCTAGGGGCTCTAACTAATTCATCTGATTGGAAATAAATAATAAATCGCCAAGGCGCAACTGAAAGGTGAAAGTTGGGGTTCAGTATCTTTTACTGAGAGAAAATTAAAATGAAGTAGTGAGATTGAACAAACAAGTTTAAGAGACAGAAGAGATTTTGTGGCAGACTGCCTCGCCTCCCTTCGAGGTATTACCCCCGAGCTTCTCAGGTGCACAGTAGCCATATAGCCTTAGAGAAAAGGAGAAATACATAATAAATGCGCGAAATTATTATGTTTACAGCTATTTACAAAATTTACGGGACAACACTCCGTCGGATAGGAAGCGTGATTGACCCTCCAACATTTGAGCTTTTTGGGATACTGTTATACTTTTTCCAGTGGTAGTGAATTAAAGCAGCTATTTTTAGAATAAGTCGAATCCCGTGAAAGGCATGGATGCTCTTTCTTTCTCTGTACTATCTGTCTTTACTGTGGGAGCAACGTTGGCCCACCTAATATGGTTCCCTTGAAATCTGTCCTAAAATCGGCCAACAAATCTGCCCTTTTGATGCTTGTATGAAGAAGGGTCATTCTCTAGGTGAGTATTGGGGAAAAAATTTCATTTCTGACTTTTTAATCGAAAAAAATCTTTTAAGTATGTACTCTTTAGGGATATTCTTGTAAAATTCGTTACGAATTTTCTTACTTACAACTTAACTAAAGCTGGTTTTAAGACTACGAGTAACATCTAGTTTAAAAAGAAAAAACAGGTAAGACTATTTGACTTCTTCCACTTTTTTTTCTTTTTACCTGATGCAACTGAACTACAGTCAATTTTAGAGCTACAATGATTAACCCATTCGGGTAGAGATGCTAAAAGAGGACGTATTAAATGTCAACCATACGAACACGTCCACTATAAAAGGCTTAGTCCATCTAGATGCATGAAATGTACGGATGATCATTACTCGCTTCAGTGTTTTAAAAAGATAGGTCCTCATCACTGAAAAGTGCTAATTGTAACGGAAACCATACTGAAAACTTCTTAGGGTGCCTTTCTCTCCCCAAGAAAACCACCAGCAAAAAAAAAAAAACCACTTTAACTCCTACTTATAGACTTATTGAAATTTTTCAAGAACTGATTCAAGGTATAATTTATCTATATTCATCAATTATGTTCTTCATTTTTCAAAAATCAATTATTGTACATATCAAATCATGTTATATCTTTATTTTGAATTAAAGTCTACAATCAATATTTCTAATGTTATGTAAAAACGTCAATTTGTCATATTGAATTTTTCATTGTTTTATTATTTCACAAGCGAACGGCTTGATTTTTTTTTATGGCTACCACAATGTATTCGAATGAACTTCAATGTATGTCATAATTAAATATGTGCTAGTTAAAATATAGAAATTTAATTAGTGAAATATGTATCAATTTATGTTAATATTTATTTATGTCAACTTACGTATATATATGTCAAATTATGTTTATATTTATATATGTCAACTTAGATTCGATGAATCAGATATTCAAATGTTATATTTACCCAAGCAAAGTGCTTGTTTTTCTATTAGCTACCACATCGACTGCTAAATTCAAAATGTTATTACTATAAATTTTCTGTAAATTTCTAGATGTATGGGATAGGGGCCGCTAAGAGGCCCAGGTGCCCAATTTTTGTAATTAAAAGTAAAGTAAGTAAGTTCAAGAACTGAGAGAAGTTTTACAAAACAATGAAGTTAACCAATTAATACCTAAAACCAAAAAGTAATTAACGTGGTTAAAGCGCCAATGCATGAAATAGGTAGTTCATATTTGTTTGCTACAAGCAGCTGTGTCATTCTGGTACTTGCCTCTTTGGTTTTTACTTTCGATCTAAATATTTATATCATTGATTGATTGCGGTAGATAGAACTACCTTAATACTAAAATAAATACTAATAATGAAATTTGTTTTTTACCACTCTTTTTTTTTGGAAAAGGAACTATTCAATCATGAGGACTCAGTACTCAAATGGGTTGAAAATTGTTCCACAACTTCAACCAAAAATGATCAATATACCAATACCAATAATTAAAAAAGCAAATTATGTTGGTCTCATAATCAATTGCTAACTCACCTGCATTGATCATACCAAAAGCACAATAGATAAAGCAAATGCAGCAATAATCAGAATATGTCACCTAAACTAAAGAAGCAAGCTATAGTAATGATCCGCCCAATACCATCACCTCCTACATCAAGAAGCCTCCACACGGTCTTTTATAAGTAGTCCGCGCAGACTGTTTAAAAAGTGAACCAGTTGTGCGCATGAACCCAAAATCTTTTATAAAAGTAATTGAGAGAAATTTATCTTATATATTTGAGAATTGAATATGTAGTGGTTGACAAGTGAATAAGGCAAACCAATAATATTCATAATAAAATAAATTTTTAGTCATATATTTGCTACCACTTTCTTATTTTAACTATATTCTGTAATAAATGACTCGTTCGGTAAGTGGATATCCTTGACAGTGGCTGATCGGCCTACCTGTAAAAAACCGTGTGGAGGCTTTCCGTAATAGGAGGCGTTGCCAATACTTACCTATGCCTCCCCTATCTGGACAACGATACCTCAACATATACTGAAGAAATTAAACCAATGCCAAAATAAGATCAATAGAAAAATAACCTGTGCAAGATAGTTCATCAGGAATACCAATATACATGCGGACGTCGAAATAACAACTCTATAGCAGCATATAGGCAAGCTAAACGCAGATTTTTTCGATAAAGCCATAGAATGTAAAACATCAAATTTCAATGCAATCTTTAAATTTGAAAATTATAGCAAAGATTAAAACTACAGACCAAGAGCTGCACATTTCACCTCCGACGCCTCATATTATAACTGTCAAAACAAATTATTGCATCAACATTTCTGAAAATAACGTTTCCTCATGCTGATACAACTCTGGACAACTCCAACTTCAAACAAACGTAGTTTAGAGCAAGATGCTCATTTTATTTTTTGATTCCTTTTTAGTTATTCAAGCAAAGTGCTTTGAAACATTCATAAAAGCAACTCCACTGCCTGCTTAACTCAATGCTCAACCAAAACAGAGATAAAATTCCAGATGAATGGGGTAGAGGTCGCTCCGCGGCCGAGGTGCCCAATAAAATCAAAACACTAGGACTAGGACTCAAATGGGTTGAAACTCTTTTTCAGAAATTGCTCGATATTGAACTGTCAGTGAACAACTAGACTAATCTGTGATGGTTTTTTTCTCTTTTAACACGCGTAGGCTATTTTGTGTTTATATGACCCTCAATATATAACTTTCCGTATCGATCAATAGCTCTTCGCGCCAAAAGCCGAAATTTTTGTAGGTTACGATTTTTTCAAGTTAATAGAAATATGTCTTGTATCTTTAACACGTTCACGCCGGGAAAAGTGAAAATACTGGTACGGGAAAAGTGAAAATACTGGTAGAAGAACTATTTCAATATTAGATAATATTCGGGAGGAGTTAATCTATTCTCAACAATAACAATTCACTGTAAGGAAATTTATCACGGCGAAGAAGCAATTCAATATAAAAATTGCATCCGTTAAAAACAATTGATAGCTATGATTTTTTATTATTCCCGAAAAAAAACTAAAAAATGAAATTATTTGGTACCAGTTCTTACTCCGGTGAGCTGCCACGATGAGACAATCTAGCGCATAGATTCTCAACCTTTTTAACGTTGCCGCCCCCTTAAGGAGCAAAAAGCATTTCAACGCCCCCTTCGTGAAAATCTAGTTATTTAGAGCATGGGGATGGAGGGAGGTGTGCTGAATTATAGGAAGCAACATCTTTAAGCAATTTTTACGCTTTAAATTTGCTTGGTTTTTTTTAAAAAAATAATGTGTACATTAACTCGATAATTTTCTTATGGCAAGTAAACGCAGTCTATTTGTTATGATCAAAATAAATACGTTTAAGGAAAAAAAAATACAACAAAGAAACCTATGCTTAAAAAATGATTTATTCTTAATTAGATAAGTAAAAAAACATCCAAAATATTTTTTTAACCGTAAAAAGAAGTATCAACGAAACATTCAAGTAACTATGTTGGTGGGATAAACCAATTTCTTAACAGTCGGTTCAATACTTTTAGTGAGATGAAGACGCAAATACACTCGCTGCACAATTTCTAGTCGATTTCTCCTTTTTGTGACAAGATCTGTAGCAGCACTGAATCCACGTTCTATAAGTTAGGAGGAAGGAATGGCAATAAAAAAAATTTTAATGGTAGTCTACAGTCCAGGATAGAGACGACTGACGTTACCTTCAAGCAAAACTTCTGTGAGACGATCACCACTTCAAATTTGCATTAGTTAAAAGTTCGACCAAATCTGAACCTCTGCTGTTTCAATATTCACAAAAGTGTTCAGAACCCATAAACCCATTGAGGCACTTCTAGGGAACAAAACATCTTTAAAACGGTCGGAAAAGCCCATGTGCAAAGAGTTAACGTGTTGACAATATTCTTGTGCATCATCAGAGCGAATTTCTCTTGCTTGGATGAACTCATTCCAACCAAAATTCTGCTTCCACAAAATGAGCTTTTTTAAGAAGGCAGAAATAACTGATTTTGTAGGGATCAAATTGAGCTCGTTGTCTTGAAGATGTAAATTATTACCCTTAAATTTTTCAGATAAATCTGCCAAAGTCTTTCTTAAATTCCAACAATCTGTCTCTCAGAGTTACATCTCTGTTTCCGAAGAACTCAAGCATAGAGTCGAAAAGATTCCAATGCCTATTGAGACAGACGCTTTTGGAAAACCAGCTAATCTCGGCGTATAGTAGCAAGCGATTGAATTCTTCATTGTTCTTCTTACACAGCTGTCTGAATGATCAATCGTAGGGAGCATTACTGTGAATTTTGTTCACAGCAGACATGGTATATTGCAATGATTTATGCCAACGGTCGCTGAGATTTTTTTCTACTAAATGCTATCTGTGAATCACGTAGTGAACAGCTAAAAATATCTGGTACCTCCCTTTCCAAAAGGGCGATATCGGCCCCCATTGCAGCAGCCTATCAGTGGCAATAGACATAATATTCGCAAAAGGATTGTTTTTCTCTGTAAAATGGTCTTTGACAGTATTAAAAATAGATTTACCTTTGATATCTACAATCAAGCTTCTTGGAAAAAGCGTATCTTGAATAATTTTTATTACCTTTACAAACCGGACCTATGCCTACAGTAGAGCCTACATTACCTGGCAAGGTTGATTCATCAACTTGAAGGGAAAATTCGTTGGATATCAAAAGTTTGCATAAAGAAATTTCAACGTCTTCGGCCATCTCAACATTTGGTCACTGCACTGTATCGTTGCTTATGGGATATTTTTTTATCACAGTGGATGCAGCTGGATGGTGTAAAACTATTTCTAAAACTTCCTTGACAACCGGCAGTATTAACTCTGCTCCGATGGTATGAGCTTTCCCAAATTTAGCAATAAATTTTGATATATTATAAGAAGCTATCAAACCATCGTCGCATTTTTGTGATGAGGTTGCTAGTAACCCTGAGACCGAAGATGCCTTCAGAAACATGAAAAAAGATGTTCATGAAAAATGACAAATCTTTATTTTGTTTGTCAGGATGCGTTTTTTCTCAAATGCTCCTGCTAACGGTAAGATTTCATTACCTCATTAGATAAAACTTTATTATTAAGTAAACACATGGGTAGTTGAGAGTTCAACAATGATTGAACAAATCCCAACTTCAAGAACGTGGCACTGTATTAATGACACTTCCTTTAGTTAACCGATATTGCTGGTGGCAGCAAAATACAAAGCCTAAAAGAAAATCAACTATTTCTCAAAATTAATAAGTAATTTATGATAAAAATTAATTCGTGCACGTGCCTGGTCAAGTAAACTATGAGATCTAATCGAAACTGGAGATAAAACCGTAAGGAAGCTAACGAAAACCATCATAAGAAACACGGGTCAAAACAAAAATTCATACTGAAGGCGCATGCACTTCAATTTCCACCAAATGACTTGAATGAGTCAGAGGCAAAAACTACTGACTCATGCGCTAAACTGTGTGGCTCGGATTATAAGTTCGTTTTATTGCTGGTACAAATGGTGTATCGGATAATCTTTATTTATTATATTAATTTAATCTTTTCTTTTCTTTAATATTAATTTTAGATCAATTTTATTTATAAAATAAATCTTAATTTAATAACTTTTTTTGTTTTAAAATTGAATTTAAATGACAAAACATGCTCATCGCCCTCCTACCGCCCAAAGCATACCCAACGCCCCCCTACCGCCCAAAACAAGTTCACCGCCCCAACGCATTCTCCCAACGTCCCCAGGGGGGCGGTATCGCCCCCGTTGAGAACCAATGATCTAGCGTGATCCACCGGTGGGTAACCCCGCGTGAACGTGTTAAATAAATTTCCGGATAAGTAGTCAGGACTGTTAACTTAGAGCATTTTTTGAGAAAATTTCTTCTAGTGGTAGCCAAGTTTATGTTTCAGTATGTGATTCATTGTGCTTTAAATTTCACTTACAATTATTTTATACCCCACCCACCACATGTAATTTATTCAAAATTATGTATCAAACTCCACTTAGATCAGTATATTCGATTATATTTATATCAAACGCCTCTTTTGCTGGTGGTTTGAAATGTGGATAAAATTACCATCTTCAATTATCTTCAATTTTAATTATCAACCAATCTAGAAAATGTTTGCAAACAGCGTAGAAGTTGGCAACTCTGAGTATCAGATCACAAGCAGCCCTAATCAAGCCTAGTTGATTGTCTAACCATATAGATAAATCATTGTAAAGATAAAAAATAATTTTTGATACTTACGAATGATAAAACCAGTTGTATATATTGTAGACATAGTAGTGCCGTTAACTCCCCTTAAGAAGAGGAATAGACCAAAAAAAGGGCTCAGAACAGATCCTATTTCGGTTACGGCTACTACTAATGCGAGACATAAGAATGTCGGTTTACGTCCCCACCTAGAAAGAACAATTATAATGTCATACCTACCAACTTTTACACATTTGGCGTAAAATTTTATATCTATTTTTAAAGTGGTAGTAAAATGTATGCTTTTATTACATTTATAAACTTAATGTTTAATCTTTTTGACCACCACTATTTTTAATATAATTAAGCATATATATATATAAATATGTATTACTGTGTTGGAAGTTTGTATAGGCTTTTCCAAAATACAGTTTATATTTCTACCTAAAATTGTTATTTAAATAACATTTTACTGCCACTGGGGAAAATCATCCTCGAAAGGATTAAAAGTTGGCAGGTATGTAATGTAATTCAATACAGCAAACCTTTCCCTTAAATTAAAAACTGTTTAAAAAAGCCGTTAAACAAAAATTGAACGAGTTGTACGTATAATATTTATTGCGTTCCAGTTAGGAATTTCTTTTTTTCCTTCTAACTTTAAAAGTAATTACAAAGTTTGAAAAAGATGGTACTGCTGAATTAAAAATCCACTAACAATATTTTCAGCTGAGCATTTGTTCATTTTTTACTTAGACTGCGTCCCTTTTTTTTTAACTACCTTTGTTTCAGCAAAGGGTGGTTTATATGGAAACATTGTTTTATGTATTTGTTTATTGTTTCATTTTACAACCTCCGGTTTTCTTTCATGCGTATTACGTCACAACTGTAAAAGCCAATTTTTGAAAATTACGTCTACTCGCTATCTTGGGGTGATATATCCGATTTGATTAAAAAAAAAAAAATTCTATTTCGTTTCAAAACAAGTGCATTTTGCCATGGTTGCAGTTAACTCTAACGCGTAATTTTAAAGGTTCATCTTTGTGAGATATAGCATTTTTAGGAATGAAAATCCAACAAATCTTTGAAAAGTTATAAGGATGATCCGTTTTTTTCCTCTTTTTTTTGCTGATTAAACATGCTTTACAAAAAACATTATAAAAATAAACTTTTTGTAAACCATTTGAAACTATTTAAATGATACTATCAGTTTTTTTTAAAATTTTTTTTAATAATAATAGTAATATGTTCGTTAACCGACGTGCTGGCCACAACCTTATCTAATTAAAGAATGCAAACAGAAGTTTGCAAAATATAAAAAAAGGGCTATTAACGTAAATTTATGATAGGATTATAAGGATTATTATTGAAAAAACGACTATTCATGTATAAAAAAATAGTTGGAGACTCAATTTACAATTTTTATTTATTATCTCTTCAATTATTCAATCGTATATAACACTACATTTCATATTACTCATATGCAAATATTATTTACATTAGTTTTTAATAGTAAACTGAAAAACGTTTAACATAAAAAATATGCTCAATTTAATTACTTTCAACAAAATTTTATAAGTCAGAACTTTTAGGATATTAAGTCACCTGAGGCAATCCTGCTTTGCGCCGCTTTGTAAAAAAGTACTTTTTGTAGTAGCGAAATTCAAGTTAATTTTATTTTAATATTTTTCACTGAAAATAATTTTTCCGCTCTTACATGTCAAAAATTCTAAGTATCATATGAAATAAAACTTTGTTACGTCCCGCAGTGGACTGATCGTTAAGACACGGTTCCCAGTAGATCACCGAAGTCAAGCATCACTGGCTGCGGTCAGTGTGCGGGTGGGTGACCACTTGGATCAGTCTGCGTAGGAACCGAGGGTGTGCGGTATTGGTCCTCGTTAAACTGTGCTACCGTAAAGTGCTCGACTTCGCGCGCAGGTCGTCGGGCTAC